TAAATATATTAAAATTTAATTTTTGATTAGTAATATGCATTGCTAAGGACTTCATCTGGACAACTTTAAAGATGATTTTCTCAATATTTTGATTTTTTTGCACCCTCAGATTCCAGATTTTCAAATAGTTGTATCTCGGCCAAATATTGTCCTATCCTAACACACCATACATCAATGGAAAGCTCATTTATTCAGCTTCAATTTCGAAAAATTCACCCTTATGATTGGTTTTGTGCTCCAGGGTCACATTTAATATGCAAGAAGTTCACTAGTTATTGCATGATGGCCAATAATAGCTGTCTTATTCAATTTGCCTGTTACTTCTATTGTCAATTATCATCGACCTCCTTTGTGGCTGGTAAAAGCAACTGGTTGAGGTCTCAAGCCTTTGTCCACTCTTTGGCAAAGTCATTTTATTACGCAAGGTTACTCCTTCAGCAGTTTTGAGGTTTTCTGCTAGTTCATTTGCATAGACGTCAAATGGTGATGCTTCAGCTTTAATAGGAGATAGGAGCAGCTTTCCGTCGTCCCCTACCGGAGGGTAGTCCATGATTGGAAACGGAGGGCTGAACAGGATGAGACTCTGAGGTCTTGGACGATTTCTGAAGGATGATCTCTGAAGAAGCGATGAGCGCTCAGGTCTGGGGCGATCCATAAAGGTGTCTCCATTTGCAGATCGCTTCCTTCTCAACACTGGGAGATCTGGAACGGAGGTCGGTTTGTAATTCTCGTTGCATGTGGCGTTGTTCATGGGAATCGCTGATGGTGGATCACTGCTTGGCAGTTCCTCCTTTCCCAACTTGCTCTTAGCAGGTTTCTTTTCAGGTGCACTTTGATTGACTTGATCGGTGCTCCCCTCAGGTAGAGAGTGAGGTATGTGGCTGTACTGAATTTTTGGCGGAATAACAGGAACAGCTTTAGCTTTGCAAGTTTTGATCATGAATGCAGTGCGAACTGATGACACGCTGACTGGTGCCGAGTTGCGTCGCACAGGTGCCTTAGAGCCACTCAGGAACAGCTCCAACTCTAGAGACGAGCTACCGTGCATGGCTTCAAGCGTCGTGCATTCCTGTGCAACTGAATGTTGTACACTTTTCAGATAGTGACTGTTTGAAAAGTCTCTGACACCTTGGTGTCCTAAATCCAGGTTTAGGGAGCATGGCCTGAGTTTGGGTTGAATGTCTTCACGACTCCTCTCCACGACGCCAGACTCATGGGATGTCTGTCGATGAAATCTCTGAGATAAGTGTTTCTGTTTTACTTTGCTCACGTTTTGCAGTGCAGCCGTCTCATCTGGATCGGTGAATGCCTTCAGTATCTTAACCTGTGGAATCTCAAGTTTGCTGTCATCTTTGTCTCCCATCCACTTGAGGTTATCACTCTCGCAATGCTCTGTTATCGGTGAAAAACAAGTTACATTTGTATCTGCATTTCTGTTTCCTGTCGGGAAGTCAATGTTTCGGAGTTCACAGGCAGTCACAGCTGCCTCTGTTTGAGATGGTGTAATGTCATCAAGCACAGCTGGTTCTTTAGGCAAGTCGTCCACTTTTGGTTTTTCAAGAACTTGGCTGTGAGTTGCTTGACATGGCATAGGTTTTGGTGAGTGCAGAGGGCTGGTTACCCATTGCTTGGCAGAACACAAGTCTTCCCATGGTTCAACCTGATCCAAATTACTCCCCCATGTGTCTACAGCATCTCGACAACAACTTTCCAGTGTGCGCTGTTGTTCATTCAGACAAGTCGGGAGTCTTTCCAAACTTCTCTTGATTCTTTCTGCTAAATCGAATTTCTTTGGTTCACCACTAACCTCCTTATTTTCATCTTTACAAATATCCTTTGTTATCAATGGCTCTTTCATGTCAGAGTGAAGAGATGTGTGAACGTCCGATTTACCCGGCAAGTCACTTTTGGGAGTGTTGTCTTTCCTAACAGCCTCTGTTCTTGGTTCCTCTTCGCTGCATGGCTCTGCATCTTGGAGGATATCTGTTTCCTTTAGGTGGAGAAATGGGGAAAGCTCTAGACTGGTTGTTATTATGGTTTGCGACTCTAGGCTCTTGTGTTCTGTCCTGTCAGCTTCATTATCCAGGTAATTCCAGCCACCATCACAAGACAACAATCTTTCGGGGAAATGCTTCGTGACAGAATTAAACGTAATAGCAGCAGAATGATCAAACGTCACGTTTTTGGTAAGGTCTATAAAGAGTCCCTTTGACGTCACAGTGTTTGTAGGCAAACTACTTCTTCTCTGTGCACTTAGCTTGCAAGTGTCCTCGTTTCCAGTCATCTTGGTGAAGCGGGGCTTCACCTGTTCACCTGACAACAATCTTTCGGGGAAATGCTTCGTGACAGAATTAAACGTAGTAGCAGCAGAATGATCAAACGTCACGTTTTTGGTAAGGTCTATAAAGAGTCCCTTTGACGTCACAGTGTTTGTAGGCAAACTACTTCTTCTCTGTGCACTTAGCTTGCAAGTGTCCTCGTTTCCAGTCATCTTGGTGAAGCGGGGCTTCACCTGTTCACCTGGCATGCTTGTTTTAGCCTCGGTGACTGAAACTTTCTGATGCATGCCAGACGATGGCACCTTTTTGATTACTTCCTGTGAAACACGACGAAGGAACAAAAAAAAAGAGAGAAAAGTGAGGGCTGGTTATACAGACATTTGTTCCAATGATATTTCAGAGGTCAAAATGATGTCTTTTTAAGACAGTAGCTTAAATAGGTTTATAAATTATGGCTTAATTGCAATTAGGGGTTAATGGACTTGAAATATATATCACTATTTCATCTTGGGATTTAGTACTAGTACAGTGGTTCTTAACTTTTTTGACTCGAAGGCCCTCCACTGTGTATATACTTTAATATATTACATTTTAAGTCATACCACGGCCCCCTGGTTGAGAACCATTGTGCTTGTAGTATGTCAATCCTATTAAAAAAGTGTTTTAGCAATTCAAATCATACCAGTTTGTCCAATTTTGCCATTTCTTGTTGTGTTGATGTAGTTTCCAGTTCTTTCCCTATTTCTTTAGTCTCAGATGACGCCTGAGGTTCAGAATTCTCCACACTGGCTATCAGCTCTCTCACTTCTGCATCCTTGCCTGAGAAAATTCGGAGAAATCAGCATCATGTTATCAGTTAGGGTAGCAGATTTAAAGGTGCAGTGTATCATTTCTGCGGCACTAGCATCACCAAACAGAATTGCACAAATAATGTGATTCCCGAACACTTCCCCCATCTGCCATTACTGAGATATCTGACAGTCCCAGCTCAAACACACACACACACACACACACACACACATACACACACAGGTTTGTTTTACACACACACTGACCAATCGTCATACTCTTTGTTGTCCCCAGAGTGAGCGCATCTGTAATATCTCTTTCCCCAGTCTGATCCTCATTTTCCGCGGGGAAAGGGCTGCTGTTGCTATAGATACTGCATCCGCTGCCTCCGCTGCTGTCACTGAGCAGGTGCTCTCTGAACCCAGTGCTGCTGGAGTGACCTGCTAGTCCAGTCTCCCAGTCTGTGAACGTGAAGTTCCCACTGCTGCTTCTGCTGGGGACACGCAATCCAGCAGTGCCAATACTTTCGCTGCGATGGGCTTCCAGAGGTCCAGCCTCCTTACTGGGCTTAAAGAGTCCCCCCAGACCCCTGTCCCGCTCTTTCCCTGGTGCCCTGCAGGGGGTGCTGTTAGAGTTAATAACTGCAGACACACGCAAAGGTACAGACACCGCAAAGGGTTCCGAAATGTTGAGGGCCTTCCGTTGTTGCCGCGGCGACGACTCCAGCGGAAACAGGCTGCCTGGAAAAGATGGTCTAGACGATCCACTACTGGCAGATCCAGAATACAGCATCCGACGGTTTTTGGGAGATGTGGGCTGGCAGCCGCTGCGGTCTTCACCTTTGAAAACCTTCAGCTGTTCTGGAAGAGTTTTCTGCAGTGGGGATAAAGATGGAGATGCAGAGGAGGCATCTGATGCTCTTTCTCTTTTCTCATTCACACATCCTCCCGAAGCAGTATGAGGATCTGAGTCCCATTTTGGATCCTTCTTGTTTGGATTGTAGTCGATATCCGAGCCCAGGGTTCGGGATTTTAGACTTGGGATAAAAATACCATTGCTTCCTTCTGTTGGTGCTTTGTGCTCATCTGAATGGGAGTGAAAAAGAGAAAACTGGTGGTGACACCTAACCTATGTACAGCGGCCCCAACATTTTTTCACACTTTACCCAAAGATAAAAAAAATGTAGAATTAATAATATTAAGCATTTGTTTGTAAAACAAAGCATGCCATTCATTAATGTGATAAACTGCACTTTCCATGAACTTTGAGTTGATACATTCACTTGAAAACATTTGATTAAATAATTATTTTTTTTCTATTATTGCAGTACTGCAGAAACTAATCTAACAAACAGATAAAACCAAGCCTCCTGTCATGAACCTTTTCTGTAATACTATCAATCCATATGCCGTGTGTCAGGCTGATATCTTAATTAATTAGCTGCTTTTTCTTTTATGTGAATTAAGTTGTTATTTTTAATATATAATGTATCTTTATATACATATATGCATTTATTATATACATCAAAATTGTTTTAAATCTTTTTAGAGAACTGCAAAAGGACAGCTTAGTAAAGTAAGTATATATGGAGATCTAGCCCCACCTGCTGCCTGAAAGGAACAGAGAGAGTCCATGCTTTTGGATGGCCTTATAACAGGTTTTTCTGTTCAAGAGAGGAAAGAAACATAAAACATAAATCTGGCCATACTATTTGTTCTTCTTCTTTACTCTGCACTGATAAAAACAGATCATTTGGACCAAATTAAAAGAAAAATACAGTAATGTATTACAGTAACATGCATTAGTGTTTTTCAAATTGGTTTTGGGTCAAACTTTAAATTTTGATTTAATAATAATAAAATATATTTATTTTCCCAAAGACAAAAACATTCATACAAAGTAAAAAGATTATTTATTATAAACACCTTATTTATTTAATTAATATATTCTCTTCAGACATAAGCCAAAATGTTACTTCATGTAGGTCAATATAATAATCTTTAGGCCTTTAACGTAATTCACCATTATTAAGGTGACATGTTTTTAAAATATGTATAATATTTTCTGACTCTAGGGTCAAGCAAAAAACAAAGTTTTTTTTTTTCTTCTATGTGGAGTGTTATTTGCTTTTGCAGAAACCATTTAGACCAATATGAAAATGCATTTTATTAAATGACACAATTGTTTCAGTGTTTTACCGTCTGCAACACTCACACTATACAGTAGGGTTCATAGTATAGGGTTTGAACTTCATGATGCTTTGGCCATCTATAGGGCTCTCATCAGACGTCGAGAGCAACATCGTGCTTGTATTATTGCTCTGATGTCTGCTGCCCGAAATATCATAAAGTGGCATTTTGATTTCTGGCTGCACCTCCTCTTTTGTGTTTTCCCTTTTTGGGAACTTTCGTTTCTAGACACTAGAAAGCTTCTCTCGCTCTCTGTCTCTTTCTTACCAGAGGGATTTTGGGCTCTCATAAACACACTCCCATTGCGACTCAGCTTCCCTTTAGAGTCGATGACAGATCGCCCAAGACTGAAGATGGACTTCCACTTCTTAGATTTTCCTGAGAATTTTCTCCTGTGTTATGAGAAGATTTCAAATGAAATGTTGTTCTCTAGGTCAAGCTTTACAGTTTATGTGCATGCTGTACAGTTTCAGTATTGTGCATGTTAAAACCTAACATACACATGCTATAGGGAGTGTGTGTAGGCTTGCGTAAATATATCATACCTGCTGTCAGACAGATCTATTACTGTGTGGTACATTGCAGCAGTGCTTGTATCTGGAAGGCTGTTCTCTCTTTGTCTCTCTCTCATCGCTGGATGGTTGGGACTGAGAGAGCGAGCCTGCGCCTCTTCCAGACTCATGAGCTTCATGGGGCCAGACTGCGTGCTGGCAGGCAAGGTGGCGTACTTCTCCCCACACGCCATGCTGGGGCCTACAAAACCACGAAAACCAGTTCCATGTAGCATGTCTTGAGAATAACATACTTTGCATCACTAAAAGAGCTCAAAGCCTTGTTCTATCACATGGGTCCTCAACTCTGGACCTCTAAGCTCCAACCCTAATCAAACACACCTGAACAAGCTACTCAAGGTCTTCAGGATTGCTACAAAGTTGCAGGTAGGTGTGTTTAATCCAGGTCGGAGCTAATCTTTGCAGGAAAGTGTTGAGGAGCTGTTCTATCAGTATATATAAATGATGGAAAAAGTAATGGCTGAACACAATACTTAAAAAGTATTTTCATTTAGTGTAAATTTAGTATTATTTATATACTTTAATATACTTTTTATTAACATTTTGATTTAAAAAATATATATATTTTAGTTAGATTTAGTAATTTTGTTTTGTGTGTTTGTCATTTTAATGTTTTTTTTACTATTTAGGTTCAGTTTATAGAAAAGTTGGAACATTTTGTAAAATGCAATACAAATTTTCTTTAACCTCTATTTAATTGACAAAAATTCAAAGAAAAGATCTCTAATGTTTTCACTGACCAACTGAATTGTATTTTGTAAACATAAACAAATTTAGATTTTGACGGCTGCAACACACCCTAAAAGAGTTGGGACAGCGGCATGTTTACAACTGTGTCACATCAACTTTTCTTTAATTACTGTTTTTAATCATTTTTAAACGAGAAGACTAATTGCTACAGTTTTGCAAGTGGAAATGTTGCTCAGTCTTGCTTGACACAAGACTTCAGCTGCTCAACAGTAAGTGGTCATCATTGTGTATTTCTCCTCTTCATGACGCACCATGCATTTTCAATAGGAGACAGATCTGGACTGCGGGCAGGCCACTGTAGCACATGCAGAATGAAACCTAGCATTGTCTCGCTCATATAACCATGGACTTCCCGGGAAAAATGTCACTCTGATGTCAGTATATGTCTCTGTACAGTCCCAGTATATGCCTCAGCCTCAGTGGTGCCTTCACACATTTGCAGGTCACCCATCCCATAGGCACTGATGAACCCTATTTCATGACAGATGTTAGCTTGTGCACCTGATAGAAGTCAGGATGGTGCCTTTGTAGAATTCAATGTCTGTTTTTCCCAGAAACAAGTTGAAATGTGGACTGATCTGAGCACGGCTCACTTCTCCACTGTATTTCTTATTATCTGAGATGAGCTCTGGCCCAGAGAACCCCGCGGCATCCCTGCATAGAGCTGATGTATAGCTTTCTCCTAGAGTAACAGAGATTCAAGTTGCTTTTCTTGATCCAGCGATGGACTGTGTTAAGTGACAATGGTATTCTGAACTTCTTCCGAGCCCACATGGCTGTATTTGACATCGCAGCATGATGGTTTCTCATGCAACGCTATCTGAGGGTTTGAAGGTTACGCACATCAACAGAGCTTTTCTGCCTTGCTCTACACAGACTGAGATTTCGCCAGATTCCCTACGGTACGGTAGATGGCGAAAGACCTCAATTCTTTGCAATCTTGCATTGAGAAATGTTATTTTTTTAATGGTTTGACAATTCTCTCATTGTAAGTTGTAAGCCACGACCCATCTTTTTTGGTGGATGCTTGTTTTTTTTACCCAATCATGATCCCCTCACCTATTACCAATGCAGCTGCTTATTTTTGGATGTTTCAAAACAGTTTAACTTGGATATTCCATAATCTTTTCACTTTTATTTTTCCTCTGACCAAAGTTTTTTTTTTTTTATCTTTTCTTTGTAGGCTTGTCAGTTAAATAAAGGTGAAAGAGAATTAACAAATCACAGATTCTTGATTGTTGGATGTTTCAAAACAGTTTAACTTGGATATTCCATAATCTTTTCACTTTTATTTTGCCTCTGACCAAAGTTTTTTTTTTGTTATCTTTTCTTTGTAGGCTTGTCAGTTAAATAAAGGTGAAAGAGAATTAACAAATCACATATTCTTGATTTTATTCTTGTTCTCACAAAAATGTCCCAATTTACAGTTAGAAATTTTAGTGCTTGAACTTATTTCAGTTCTAATTTGCAAATATTTATATTTTACTTCAATTAGCAAAACTGTTTTGAATAGTTTTAGTTAATGATAATAACCCTGTTTTCATGATGCAGTATCTACTCAAAATCTCAAAAAACATCGAGTAGATCATTTTGTACTGTAGTGAATACACCTTCAACACTGTGATCAACAAGTTAACACACAATTGCATGTGTGCGGCCATTAGCTGTTTGCTTTTTCTGTATGTAACTTGCCTATTGTTTTGTTGTAACATTTTTGTCTACAGATCTCATGCTATTGTATACACCCCACTTCCTGACTTTATCATCACAGTTGTCATGAATAGCACAGTCAAACTAATATAGTTTAGTTTCGTTATTATTAATTCCTGCAAAGACACAGAGAGAAAAAAAAAAAATTCTGTAGCAGTTCAGGAATTTTACTTGCATCCATACTAATATCACACATACAGCGTTGGGGAAAGTTACTTTAATGCATTACAATATTGCGTTACCCAATAAAAAAAGTAACTAATTGCGTTACTTAGTTGCTCTTTACGGAAAGTAATGCATTACGTTGCTTCTGCGTTACTTTTTGTCAGCTGGGCTGAGCTTGCTTATTTTTGTTTTTTAATAACAAAAACCCCAAAAGTTATATTTTTGGCAACTGTAAAGGTCCTTTTACACCAAAAGTGTAAATATATTTATATTTATAATTAGATATTTAGATATCTATTTGGAATTTTCAGTGTGAACACACTACTCGCACTATTTACACACTACAAAACGGCAAAGAATAGTGCATGAAATGGGATGCACCTATACTTTATTTCTTGTAACCACACTCATAGACAGGTTTCTAAATAGGAAGACGAGTGTAAAAGCAGGGCCTATTGCAGGAGCTTTAGGAGGCTGTGCTAAACCAAACACATGTGCGCTGATCAAATCATCACAAGCTGTGAAAGACTGGATGGCTTTCAAATGAGCCTAAGCTACACTCTACCCAACTGTGTGCTAATTCCCCTTAATGAGCTGCAATTTCCAATTACTCTATATCCTGTTTTGAGTTGTACAACATGGTTACAGAATATGCCCAGGTGTTGTACATCTAAAATAAAACCTCTTCTTACTACTACTTCAAAAATTACTGACTGCACTTTTCAATGAAGTTTTTTTATGGCTATACTAACAGCATCTGGCATCTTCACCAACCGCTCCGTTCATTCAGAGATACAGTGCATTGTCTGTGTGACTGCATTGCTTAATGCGAGCTGTACCTTCTCTGGACTTGCATGGCTGAAGATCCAGGTTGAAGATTTGCTCAGTGTGGTTGAGAATGAACTCCACGACTGACTGCTGGACCCGCACCTCCAGAAATGCTATATCACCATTGCAGGAGGGCACTTCTACCTCCTTGGAGCTACGCCAAAACGAAAAGAGAGCACTTAGAAAATGCAATGAATGTAATGAATCAATAGTTTTTGTGAGTGATAATAGTATGTAGCATTAATGCCTTTAAAGAATATATCTCATTCGACAGATCATCAAACAAAGAAGAAGAAGAATAGCATGAATGTAAAAAATTATATAATTGTATATAATTCTACACTGTAGAAAATGACCGTGAATTTAACGGTAAAAGACTGTAAAAATGCTACAGTAAAAACCTGTTAAATGGATAACGGTAAATTCCCCTACTATATACGGTGAAAAACTGTATTGGACATTACATGTAATTTTACAGTAGCATACCGTTTTTTGAAGTGAAAAAGACCGTATAATTTACAGTGAATAACCGTAAATTGACATTCCCAGAATTCCCTGAATTGCATTTCAAATTTGATGTTTTTTTTTTTGTTGTTGAAATACTTCAGTACTTCAATAGGTTGATATATTAACATTATATCATTATATCAGTTAATTAAATTACGGTATTTTGGAGGTTATCAGTGCATAACAAAGGTACAAAACAGATTTCAGTACTTCAATAGGTTGGTATATTAACATTATATTAGTTAATGAAATTACGGTATTTAACTGTAAATTTAAGTTAAACCGTAAAACCTAAAATGTTGCTACCGTATTTTTTACGGTAAAATTCTGGCAACCACAGCTGCCGGTTTTTTACGGAAATTTTACGGATTTTTTTTTTACAGTGTACCTTTTGCAAGTTTACTGTAGACTTCACATATTTGTGGTATAACCAACTATGCCTAAAATAATGTTTGAGAACAGAATTATGAAGACATTGGATAATTAGCATATGAAATGAAAGTAAAACCGCTGCAAGACTCACCGAAGTAGATTTGGAGCCCACACCAGAGCAAGATTGCGAGCATGCATGTTGGTTTGGTGACTGAGGGTAGCTAAATGTGCCAAATGTTTGGTGAGGTATTCCAGCGTTCTAGAGGAAATTAATAAATAAATCAGTAGATTTCAACCATTTCTACCAGATATTAAGATCTTGTAACTTACTCATTCAAAACACTTTCCAATAAGGTCTCATTTGTTAACAGTAGTGAATGCATTAACCAACACAAACTAACAATGCAATATATTTTTTACAGCATTTATTAGCCTTTGTTAATGTTAGCTAAAAAATTTTCATATTCATGTTAGTTCGCAGTGCATTAACTGTTAACAGATACAACTTTTGATTTGAAAATTGTGTTAGTTGATGTTAAGATGAACATTAACAAAGATAAATAAATGCAGTAGATGTATTGTTCATTGTTAATTCATGTTTACTAATGTAAACTCTAAACCTTGTATGACTTGTGGAAAACAAAAGGAGAAAATTTGACTAATGCACTGGTCACTCTGTCCAATGCAATTACAATGAATAGAGCTTTCAAGCAAAAAGCAAGCACCATAAAAATAGTCAATACGTCTTGTGTACTTTTTTTCCCCCAAGTTTTCTTAAGTCATCAGATAACTTTGTTTGATTAACAGACTGAAATTGAAATCATTGTTCACTAATAATCTTCCTGGATCAGACAGATTTGTGAATGATTCATTCAGAGGTTCGTTTCTTTAAAGCATTGCTAGCCAACTGCAAACTATTGTTATCAACATTTTTCCCGAAATCATAGTTCCAATGAACATTTGCAAACTGCAAATATATATATATATACTGTTTAAAAACTACCAGTCAAAAGTTTTTGAACAGTAAGATTTTTATTGTTTTTTAAAGAAGTCTCTTCTGCTCACCAAGCCTGCATTTATTTGATCCAAAATACAGCAAAAGCAGTAATATTGTGAAATATTATTTTAGTATTTAAAATACCTGTTTTCTATTTGATTATATTTTAAACTGTAATTTATTTCTGTGATCAAAGCTGAATTTTCAGCATCATTACTGCAGTCTTCAGTGTCACATGATCTTCAGAAATCATTCTTGATTTGCTGCTAAAAAAAAAAAAACATTTAATATTATTATTATGTTGAAAACAGCTGAGTAGGTTTTTTCAGGTTTCTTTGATGAAAAGAAAAAATCTTTTATAACATTGTAAATGTCTTTATCATCACTTTTGATCAATTTAAAGCATCCTTGCTAAATAAAAGTGTTAATTTCTATAATTTATTTTGGAAAAAATTGTACTGTTCAAAAACTTTTGACTGGTAGTGAATATGAGTAATGTAATGCACTGTATATGGATATTAAGCAGCATTGTATGGGAAATGCATCCCAGATCAGTTTTGTAAATTATAGGTCAAATGATTCATTGGAAAGAATCCATTTGATTTCAAAAGACTGATTAGTTCTCGAATAAGACTTCTTTGAGCTGGGGTGGATGTCACGACTTTCATTTAGTAACAAATTTCATATTTTATGATACTTTATTGAGCTTTTTTGTTATTTTGGTTTTGACAGCACCCTGTTCTTATTCATTTCCACTGTATTGGAAAGACTCCCCAGGATATTCTTCAAACTTTTACCACAATAGAAAGGACGTCATACAGGTTTGAAATGACACGGGAGCAAATAAAGACAGACGAAGTTTCCAGAATAAAGCCACAGATTATTTCAGTAATGCCAGCTGTACCTGAAGTGTGAAACAGGGAGTTCTTTTATGACACTCCTGATGTTTTGGAGTTGCTGCTGCTCCTCTTTAACAGACACTGCATCCTTTGCACAAAAATATAGATCGAGGAACATTAATTCCTGGATTCATGTGTACATTTTTAATGTGTTTGTAATGAATCACTATGGATCTCCTGGAAACTAATAATCATCTTAACCAAGGAAGTCGGTGTTTGTAGAGGTCCAAATGGAACTAATATTAAACTGATTATTTGTACAACTACAGGAAACACTTACACGTTTACTATCTAAATTATTATATATATGAGAACAAACCATTTTTTTTAAATCCTGCAAAGTCTGAAATATGCAGTAATAATCAGAAAAATATATTTTTAATGGACGAGTTTATTGAATATGAATATGGAGCTCATACTCGAGGAGGAAAAACACACCTCAGTTTTATTCAGAGGCCCAAACTGAGCAAAAATATACAATTTGGTGCAGTCGCTGATATTTATATGGCCAAAATGTAAGATGAAATTCTGAGAGCTTTAACAATATAACAGACGACTTACTGTATGTGCTGTACTACTGTACTGTAGTACAAAAATATAACAATTAATAATAATAATAATAATAATAATAATAATAAAAGTGGCCTATGCTATCCCTAAAATAAATGTCACATGTACTTATCTTTTTTTTATCTAATGCAATGACATTCAGATATTTTTAAGCATTTAAATCCTGTATTAAAAATAATTTTAAAATGTTTTAAAAGTATCTAAACACTTATTTTAAACTCTAGGCTATTGTATTAGATGCAATCTGTTATTCCGCTATTCTAGTCTAGTCTAGCCCATCCCTTTTTATCTGACAAACTTACTGTAAATTTCTTGTAGAGTTCGTAAGTGAGGAGAGGGTTGGGGAGCTCTCTGAAGTACAGCTTACATAAAGAGCCCACGCAGTGGATATCCTGAAGATACACTTCTTTAGTGAGATCAGGACAGGCTTCAGAGCAAAACTCCTGTCTGTATGCGCACACACACACACACACAGAGATACACACACACACACACACACGCACACACGCACACACGCACACACACACACAC